AATTGATTGGTTATTATGTGCAACGCATTCAATTTTCCCTCACTGCATATGTTATATATGAGGCTTTTTCAAACGACATACAGTACATTAAAAGTATGCTACCTTGTGTGCTGTCTAATTATCAACCTGCACGGTCAACAAACACTATATTGATTGTGGATTAGGACAACTCATCATGCCAGAGGGACACCCCATTGATGTCCTCAGATGTTCCTTTGTCAGGAAAACAAGCCAGTTTAAAGCTGGATCTTACCCAAAAATTCTATGACTTTGCAACTCTGGCACAAACTGCAGTAAAGGGGTGGAACATCATACAGATGTGTCTCAGTATGTGGGAAGTTATCTTCACATGTGTTTTAAAGAGATACTACAATTGATTTGGGTCAATTATATATTAGTTATTTTAAAGTTATTTGTTATTTAAGCTGTTTGATTTTATACCTGTGTTTTTACCATGTGTATACAAATAAACATTTAACCACTTGCCCTCCAGAGGATTTACCCCCCCCCCCCCCCCCTTCCTGACCAGGCCATTTTTTGCTATTCAGCGCTGTGCTATTTCAACTGGTAATTACGCAGTCATGCAATGCTGTACCCAATTGAAATGTATGTTCTTTTTTTCACACGAATAGAGCTTTCTATTGGTGGTATTTGATCACCTCTGGGTTTTTTATTTTTTTATTTTGGGGACCTGTATATGGTTCGACTACCAAAAAGTCTCTCACATGTGGTATCCCCATACTCAGTAATATAATGTATTTTGGGGAGTAATTCCACATATACCCATGGCATGTGTAAGCAATATATCATTTAAATGACAACTTTCTGTAAAAAAAAAATTTTGTTTGTAATTTTCGAAAAACTTGTGGTAAAAAATTAAATTCTTCTATGTATTGACTCAACATGCCTATTTTTTGCTAGGAAATTACTTGGAAACCCCAAACATTACATATTTTTTTTAAAACAGACACCCTAATGAATAAAATGGTGGGTGCTGTAATTTTTTATGTCACATCGTACTCACGCAGCGATTTTTCAAACGCAAATTATTAGGAAAAAATACACTTTTTTTACTTTTAATGCACAAAAATTGCTTAGTAAAATATAAAAGATGATGGTATGTCCAGTAAATAGATACCAAACATAACATGCTTTAAAACTGCGCATGCCCCCTGCGACAGCGACAAACTGCATACATTTTTAATATCCATAGGCATCGCTTTAAAAGCCTTTACAGGCTACCATTTTTTATCTACACAGGAGGTCTAGTGCTAGAATTACTGCCCTCAATTTGACATTTGGGGCAATAGTTAACATGCATGGTGCAACTCCTGTTTACATATCGACACAGGGCTAACCCTTGCGCATGCAGTTGCACACATGGCACGGGGGCGAGGGTGCTTTTTTTTTTAATTATTTTTACACTGTCCCTTTCACCTTTTTTATCACTTTTATTTTTATCACAGGGAATGAAAATATCCCCCGTGAAAGCAATAGGCAGTGACAGGTATTCTTTTCTGAGAAATCTGGGGTCTTTTAGACTGTAGATATCTCCTCTGCTCTTACATCATCTGATCTCATCAAGATCAGTGTGATCAGATGCTTTCCCAATATAAAAATGGCATTGTTTTATATCCGGCGAAACTGAAGTGATGAAATGCTCGTAGCTTCCGGTTTCTTAGACTATATAGATGATTCCAGTCTTTATGGTCAGCTGGCAAAAAAACTGGATACATTCTCAGGTTTACTAGCTAAGTTGCCCCAGCATCACCCCAGCAGCCGAGCACTGGATAAGGGCACACATAGGGGCCAATGTGCATGCTCGGATAGGAGTAGCGGCGCCAGACAATGAAGTCACAAGCCGTGACTCAGTAGCCACGGCTTTTCCGGTGAGTGCGCTGCCAAGAAAATTATATTTATATTTACTTGGACTGGGATCACTGGACTGTGATTTTAGCAGAAGCCCCCACAGGTCCACAAGGTAGTAAATGCACTCAGATGCCTTTTTCAGAGCAGGCCAAAAGCTGGTGGTCAGTGGAACATTGCCATTTTGTGCTGGTGGTCAGTGGTACATTGCCGCTCTGTGCTGGTGATCAGAGGAACATTGCCCCTCTGTGCTGGTGGTCAGTGGAACTTTGCCACCTTGTGCTGGTGGTCAGTAGAGCTTTGCCCCTGTGTGCTGGTGGTCAGTGGAACCTTGCCCCATGTGCTGGTGGTCAGTGGAACTTTGCCCCCTTGTGCTGGTGGTCAGTGGAACTTTGCCCCTCTATACTGGTGGCTAGTGGAACATTGCCCCTCTGTGCTGGTGGTCAGTGGAACTTTGCCCCTCTGTGCTGGTGGTCAGTGGAACTTTGCCCCTTGTGCTGGTGGTCATTGTGGAACATTGTGGAAAAAAGCTCTGTTATTGGGTTTTCTTTTAAGACAAAATATGTTAATGTATGAGTAGTATTTGCTAAACTAAAACCTCAGTATTCAGGTTTAATTGCAGTGTTGGCACTTTTAGATAAGTAAGTTTGTTTTGGGTTGCAGTGTGGGCACTCAGTCTCTGAAAGGTTCACCATCACCGGACTAGGGGAATGGCTACAGGAGAGGTCACTAACTGGAGGAACTGAAGCAGAGAAGATCCATTATCCAGAGCTTTGCAGAGATCAAACTGGTAGGCTGGAATTCAGGCAGCTTAGGAGGTACTTGCAGCTCTGGGGGACTTCAATGTGTCCCAGGAACAAAATAGGGGACATTTTTATCAGGGACAGACTGCAGAGAGTGGGGATCATCTCTTGAACCTGGGGACATGTGGTCACTGTACTTTACACAATTGCCATCCTATATTACTAGCAAATGATGTCTGCTTGCCAGTATGATTATGCCATATCCCCGATACACACAGGCAAAGACCAATGTACTTAAATGTACATAAATATACTTACAGCTCTTTTGAGCAAAACAACATCAGCTTTTGCTAAACTACATGGGACACAATGGCACCATACATCCAGCTCAGGCTTCCAATAGAAGAGAAGCTTCAGGAACCCCAGTGAAAAGATGTAACCAATTAGACACAGGATACTACGCCATCTTTCAGTTTTGTAACCAAACAGTTCCTGCAAATTGAGATAAAAAGTTAATTAAAGTATGTTTAAAAAATTTTTGTTTATGTTTAAAAGTAGAGAATGACTAAAGTCTCTGTCAGTCTTTTTTGTCTCCTTAAGGAGAGTACATTTCCCTGTAGACAGAACAGAAATTGAGAGAAAAATCTCCATATAAGGGCAGATTCCTGCTTAGAAAGTTGTAATCAGAACAGGTGTCCCCACTGAAAGAGTTGACTGTAGAGAGTAAATCTCCCTAACAGGGACAAAGCAAAAAAAAAAACTTACAGAAGTTTCAATCTCTGTTGAAAACTTGAAAGAGGTCTTGGCTTTAGAAATACAGTACATTGTTAAAAATCTGTGTATTATCACTTCATAACCCCACACCTGTGTATTATGCAACTAGATGTTACAATATTTTACACCAAACCCTTACTTTTCATGACATAACACCAACAGACCTTAAAGTGGCTGTAAACCTTTGAAATTAATAATAAACAAAGCATATAGGTTTATATATGTAAAATTGGCACACCCCTTCTGAAGACACATACTAGTGTACGAAGCCTGCAAGCTTTGACGTCCCGCCGCCGGGTCACGGAGATCCGGCGGCCTCATTTGATCACTAGCTGAGCTCCCCCTGGTGACTATTCCACTGTACTGAAGAGGCTGCACCCTTGTCCTTAAAGTGGACCTCCGGTTTGAGAGCATTTATCAAGACGATGTCCATCCATCCTGGGCTGGCTCTATTCATATCCTGAAAGGGACCCCCTGGCAGACCTCCATTTTGTTGATATATTGCACATTTTCTTTGCGCTTCCGGTGAGTGCGCATTTTATACATACCCTGCCCCTCACCGAGTCTTACTTAAACTACGACCGTGGGAATAGTATATCACCTTTTGAGCTCTTGTTTTGTGGACTAATAACCCATTTATGAACCCTGTTACCATATATTTGTCTGGATTATACTTAGCGCTGCACTTATTTTACATATATGTTCCTTGAAAGGTTTATGGTTTCCTTTACTGTACACAGCTGCTTTTATGAGAGTTTATATTGTGAGCGCTCACTGAGTCCTTTTATCCTTGTTAAAGCATATAGGTTTACTTGATTTGATCCAAAGCACCTACTGTGATTTCTGTCTGCTCTCATTTCTCTGCTATCTGCATTGCAGACAGTCTATGCCAGCACCAGACAACCCTGTCTCCCCTCCAAGACACAGCATGTGATTAATTGCCTATGAGACTGTTTAGATTGAAGTGTGTATATTCCATCCACTCTGGTCTCAGATTATACTCAGTGCCCTGCTCTATGTTCTTGAAGTGTATAACATCAGATCCTTACCCCCTATTTTCTGGAGCTTGGAAATGCTGTATAAAATATGTGTTTTTTTTAGGAGGCTGTAGAGATGAGGGGGCTGCAGATAAGTAGGTACAACATATGTAGGAAAATACATTTCATCTCTGTTCTCTGTGTATCATCTAGCCACAGCTAGCCACATAACGGTTTACAACCACGTTATATGCTATCATACTTTATCTAAGAACCTCATATATAATACAATGGTGATTAGCCATGGCTATATCCCCCCCCCCCACCCTACCACCTCAGTCGAATAATATGTTATATAATGGTTGTTACTCTGGGTGGGGGAAGTATCTGGGCAGGTTTGGCTAATCTGTGAGATTGGTCACAATGGCAGCTGTCAGTCTGGGAAGCACAAGACATATGGTTTACAGGTGGTTTTCAGTTTGTGGTGGCAACTATTTATGATGTATACATCAATGTAATCGAAATGCCCCAGAATACATGTATTACTTTAACTTAACTTGGAGCAAGTAGAAATTAGGCACTGGATTCAAATCAGAAGATCAGTTAGCTTTTGATAAACTACAATGGCTCTGGTAAGACAGCTTTCAACAAAAATTGGGTTGTCAGGAACGGACTTGCCAATAGTGGTGGGACTCACCTGCCTTGTGGGCTGCAGTACCAGGGCTGGCCAGTGGGTGCTCTCAACAACCAGAGGTTCACTTCGGCAATTAGCCATCACCTGGGGCTGATTGCAGGTGGTGTATTTAAGGGATGGCCAGACCTGTAGTCTGTGCCTTGGTGTGTGTTTTTCCATAAGCCCCTGTATCTTGTAACCTGCATTCCTGTTCCTGTTTCTGCCTGACTTGTTGCCGACCCTGCCTGATCCTGACCTCTGCTGACTTCTCCTGTTTGATCCCTGGCTTGTGACCCTGACCATTCTCTGCCTGACCCCCTGTACCTACCTGTCCGTTAGTTGCTGTACCCGGCTCGTGACCTGACTACTCTCCGCCTGCTTCTCCTGTACCTACCTGCCCGATAGTTATCGACCCGGGCCTGCCTGACTACGTTGTGCTCTATATGTGTATGTACCTGTGTATTTATATCAGTTTAGGTTTGGGTTTGTTCCACCTTTTGTATGTATTTGTGTTAGCTTGGGGTTTGGTGTACTGCGTTTATATTTGTATTGTTAGTCTTAATAAATTGTCTTATTTATACCATATCTGAAGCCTGCGTTTCTGGGGGTGGGGGGGGGGTGGGGGGGGGGGGGGGGGAGGGGGGGGGGGGGGGGGGGGGGGGTGGGGGGGTGGTTGGGGAAGGGTGGGGGGGGGGGGGGGGAGGGGGGGGGGTAGGGGGGGGGGGGGGGGGGGGGGGGGGGGGGGGGGGGGGGGGGGGGGGGGGGCCTGTGTCAGTCCACACACTTCTGGTAACACCCGCATCCCTGACACGGGTGTCCCTCAAAAAAGGGCCCAGATTTGAAGATTCACATTTGTAAAGTCTAAAGAGAGCACCAAAGTGTTTAACAGACCAAGCTATGGGAATATAGCTTTGTCAATATTCCCATTGCACACTTTCCTGAATAAAGCTTAGGAATAATGGGTGCTGAAGCTGGAACTGGAGACAGCAAAGATTATATGCACATATTCTCCAGTACACCATGGATTGTCAAATAGCATCCAAAATCTTTATTGAGGAACTATCACAGTACAGAGGACATAGTGCAACATTTTGGAGTCGTACAGGACCCCTTCATCAGGCGTCACATACCTGACAAATAAGTCTTCTGTGATGTGATTGTACTTCAGTAAAGATTTTATTGACGATCCATTGGGTACTGATGAATATGGTCATATAACAGACCAAGCTGCCCAGCAAAAGTGGCTGGTAAAGGGTTGAGACAAGCCATTTAACACTGACAGGGGAGCTTACAATGGTCAGCTTTAAAGTATAACTGAAGGCAAACCTTTCTTTTAGGGATTTTAACACCTGTCAGGTTTTCTACTACTGTCTGTGCCCCGATTAGGAGATTCACCCTCTTTGTTTGTCTTGTTTACCCTCTTTTGTGAAAGTGAAAGAAAATCCCAAACGCAGACTTGTCCCCATAAATGTAGTAGAGGGGAAATCTTCCAATGGGGACACTAGTCCTGGTGACACCCAGTTTCCCTCATTTTGAAAATGTTTCCCCTCAAATCATGTTTTGGCTATGGCCCAGCCCACGGAATATACTGGAAGTGTGGTCCTATTACTGGCTTGAGTGAATTTTGAGATATGTGCATTTGATTTTGTGTTTGTAAGTGTGGCTCTATATTTAATAAATGGTGTTTTTACAATATTTACACTTTGTGGAGAATGTGTGTGCTCTCTTTACATGATATGGACTGCATGGAATTTTAAAGCACATTTGGTAAGCTTCCATATTATTCACTCTTCCTGGTGACTGGTGGCACTGGTGATATTGCACAGTTTGGAAATTACTTCAGGAGTCCATATTGAATCTTAAGGGGACTTTTTTCTTCACTATCAGTTTACATTTATTTAAAGGGGACTTACCTTTATATACAATTTTTCACATAATTTTTTGTTACTTTATGTGTTACATTTTGTTAATATGTTATGTATCAGTGGGCGTTTTTTTATATATTATTTTTTAACTGCACAAATTGATATATGTATTTACAGCACAACACGTTTTATTTAATTAGTATATATTTGAGAGATGTGTTTGCTGCTCACTTTGCTTCATTATTGCAGTTTTGTGCACTTTCCTTTTTTATACTACGGGTTATAACCTAACCTTATCCTATCCAAAATGAAAATAGTGTCACCTTTAGTTTTGCTTTAATTTGCTAGTCAAGCCCATCTAAAGCCTCCCAGGCAGATAAATATGGCCTTTTGCTTGGGTGTACTGACCAGTACACCAATGTGAATGCAGTCTTAATCTGCTAGCACATCTAAAACTACTCTCTACCCGGATTGACATTGGTGCTGTCCACAAGTGTTTTTGTTACTTTTGCATCCAGAATGGGGAGGAGAATATCTGTGAGTCCCCAAAATGTGTTGACTGTTTTGTGTATGAACCAAAACTTGGGGAGCTTTTTATAAAAAAATGTGATGCACAAATAATCTCATCATTCTTGAAAAGTAATAAATATTACCTCTAATGTTTGTAATACGTGTGTAATGTCAGTTTCTATTTGTTGCCATTCTTATCTTTCTATCCTAAGAGAAAATAGTAATAAGAACATTCAACCATAACAGCTAAAAATTATGTAGACCCAACATTTCATATTCCTGATAAGTGCCTGCTGTACCATGTACTTGTATGAAAAAGTATCCACTTCTCTTTGTATTGCTTCCTTTGTGTAAAATATCTGACGTTCCTCTCCAGACCCTATTCTTTCCTATTGAACACTGACCACACTAGGCATAAGAGCACAGCATGGTCATTTTTCTAGCTGTGTTGAGACTCAGCCCGCTCTACTCCAATAATTAGACTTGTGCTCACAATACCCCTGCACAACTATTCAGTGGGAAGCTCAGTGTACTGCTGTTTCTCCTCCACTAGCTCTCTAAGTTCCTCATGCAGCTAAGACCAGAGGGAAGATGATCACTTATATAAAAAGAGAAAATGGTATTTATAAATTTTTATGTGCATACATAAATGTTTTGTATTTCACTTTTATTTTAAACTGAATAGGTTGTTTTACAAGGTGGGGGTTCACATATACTTAAAAAAACATCCGTCAATACAGAAAGTAGCACTATAGTTTAAGAACATTCCACCAGAAGGGGAAATATTATGAGTGAGACCTCTGCACTGTGTACACAGTCTATGGAGATTCCTGAACTTCCAGTTTCAGTGTGAAGTGAAACATTTAAAAGCAATACTACTACCATTGCCAAGCATGACAGCTTCCTGCTCAGGGATCCTGGCTGGTAGGGAGCCAGCACCTGCTAGCATCCTAAAAACTAGTGATTAATCGCTAGATGTCCAAGGGATTCCCAAATGACAGGTGAATATATACAAGGGGATAGTATTTAAAAAACAGTGTTGGGGTACTTCCTAAAATTCATACTTGGCCCTCCAGGTCTAGTATGACTTTCATGGGGGACCCCACAATAAACAGCATGCTTCCCCCCAAAATTCCATACCAGATCCTACATTCTGGTATGGATTTTAAGATGGAACCCCATGCAAAAATGAGAAAGAAAAAAGATAGATCCCCCCAAATCCATTCCAGACCCGTATTCCAGCATTCAACCTAGCTGGCAAGAAAAGGAGGAAACAAGTCTACCCCCCCCCCCCCCCCCACCAATCATATACCACATGTCCTTAAAATGGGGGGTACCAAAACATATTGTCACCATGCTGATTGTGGAGGTGTTCAGGTAGGTGTTAATTGAATCTGGAGGCCCACTTTAAGAATAAGGGGATCCCAGATAATACACCCCCACATGAATGTGGTGGAAATTTCAAATAAACACACACAGTCCTTTAATATAAAAAGTACCGCAATGTAAGATCCACATCACTTCTGATGCCCAACCATCTACCAACGCAACTGAACTCACCACTTCATTCCTTTTGAATGACATCTGCTGGTCCTCACAGGATTAAGTGGAAATGACCATATTTGGTTGTTGACATCATTGGGATCCCACTGGCGGGGGGGCTTTATTTTTTTGTTTATTTTTATAGGGCCCCTCTTAAAAATCCATACCAGACCCAAAGGACCTGATATGATTTTGGGGGGACCAAAAAGGTTTTTTTTTAAACTATTCCTTAGTTTACATTCACATGACAGCCAGGAGGTCCTGCCTGACTGCTGAATGTGCCGGACAGTGATAAGTCACTGCTTCTTAGGACACCGACCAGTGCTGGCTCCCTATCAGCAGACGCCTCAGACAGGGAGCTTTCACAATTAACAGTGGTAAAAATGATGCTACTAAATGCCTTACTTCATAGAGCAGCTGGAGGTTTAATTGGTCAAACACTCATTCATTCGACTGTTCACATGGGAATCTCAATAGGCTGTGCACACAATCCAAAGGCCTCCCTCAAATTTTTTTCTCCTGTTGATTGAAAGTTCTTAACCTATAATGTTAGGCTTTTTTGTGTTGATGAATATTCTAACTCTAAGGTCAAATGTTCTTATGGCTATTTTCTCTTAAGGTTTATATATTAGGGAAACAGTACATTTGTCCAGCAAAAGGCAGCTGAGAATACACTCAAACATTATGGGTATTATTCCTTAATTTTGCACTTTTGATGAGACATTCACATAGCAGATTTTTTATAAATAGACATCTTAGTGTTTTGGAAGTCTAAACACTGGGTATTTGGTGCCTTCATTGGACTTTATACTTAGCTTAACTTGACATGTTCAGTCTGCATTTCCTAGTGCACTTGTATACATGCTATTGTTTTGGATACTTCTGTTTTACCTTTTCCCTCCATAGAAAGATCAAAATTGGTTACGTTTTAAGATGACAACATTCTACCCTTACTCTTTTCTTCTTAATCTGGACTCTGGCCTAAAAGGCATTTTACATATTATTTTGGATCTGTGGAGCTTAAATTAAACTTCTCGTTTTCAGTTTCCACTTATCTGTGAAAAAAGGAATGCACACGGCCATATAAAAGTAAACTTACAATTCAGGGATTTTTTTGTTGTTGTTTTTTTTTAACTAGGAATAAAATACTACAGTAGCTATTGTTTTCTGATTATAGTAAACATTTTTCTACACATATTTTAATAATTGCATAATATGATGTTTTTAATAAAATTTTAAGTCTAGGCCACTTTCATTTTAAATGTATGCATACATTTGTAGAACTAGTATCTGAATATTCCTTTTTATCTTCAGGATAACTTGAATGTTTTCAAAGTATTTTAATAAATATTTTTAAACTAGCCATATGGTGAAGATGACAATTGGTACAAAAAAAAAATAAGAACCAGTC